AACAAATATTTTGTATTTTTCGGGCTTATGATTATATCCATCTTCAGAATCTTTGATTCAGATTTTTTGCATTATTTCAGAATTCATGTTTTTTAAAAAAAAAAAGGAATTAATTTATTAATAAGGAATAGCTTTGGGAAATTTTCCCATATTTATTCTGTTTAATTTTTTGAAATCGAAAAATCTTCTTAATTAACAACCAAAAAACAAAACAAATTGAAAATGTTTGTAATTTTTTAAAAAAATATGAAATATATAAAAATTGGAGTCATCATAAAATATAAGTTAAAAAGGAGAATTTCTGAGAAAAGGTATTTTTTGAAACAAAAAGAAAAATTTTTAAAATCATTTCAAAAAAAATATTAAAGTCAGAATGAAAATTCGAAAGAATTTCTGAGAGAATTAGGAAATTCACGGAATGAATCCATAATCTTTAACAACATAATTAATAAAAGATGAAATTCTTTGAAAGAATAAAGGTGTGCAAAAAAATGGAATTTGAATATTTGTCTTTTCTCAATTCCAATCATATAACTAAAAATTACAAGAAGTCAGAATAAAAATTATTATTTCTTGAGAAATATCTAAAATGTTTAATGTTTGAACGATTCCTCAAAGATGAAGAAGAGACTCGAGGCGACGGAGATGTGGTTCTACAGAAGGATGCTAAGGGATATCATGGACCGAGCGTGTGAGCAACGATGAGGTCTTTAGAGAGGTTGCAAACAAGGAGGAGGCTTATACTTAACATCAGGAAGAGGCAGCTGAAGTTCTTGGGACACGTAATGAGAAAGGAGAGCCTGGAGAATCTGATACTCACGGGTCGAATAGAGGGAAAGAGAGACAAAGGAAAACAACGCATGACATACCTAGCGGGCTTGAGCAAGTGGATGACAGAACGTAGTCTGGGGGAGGAAGCAGAAAGCAGGACCTTGTTGAGAGCTTCAAAGGATAGTGGGAGGTGGAGAGCCACGATCGCCTTCGTCCTGAAAGGACATGTCATATAAAAAAAAAAGAAATAACCATTTTGAGCTCGAAATACTGGCAATTTTTAAGTTATTTATTGTATAAAATAATTTAAATTGATTATGGCATGAAATAATTTTATAATTTGTATAAAAAATCCTTTGAATTATAAACATTTTTGAGGATTAAAAATAATTTTAAAAGTTATAATTGAATAGAGAATGAAGATAGTAAATGAAAATCCCATTCGAAGTTTGGAATTTGTCAAAAGTGATATGGAGTATCATAAATTGTTAATTTTTTTCATTTTATACACAGTTAGTGAACATGGGTGTAATAGAAATTTATAAAATTAATTTTTAAATTTTAAAATTTAAGAAATCAATAAATTCAGGGTATGATTTCAAAATGTTACTTTGAATTTTAAAGGAAAAGATGAGAAAATAATATTAAAGCAAAAGAGAACAAAAAAGAATACAAATGTTTTAATGATTAACCCTATGGATGACTGAATAAGGAATAAGAAAAACGGATGTTGAAATGAAATTTGGAAATTTTATAACATCATACAACAACAAACATTTCGCCAGCAAAATGAATAGGTACTTAATTTTGCTAGTGGTGGACTAACAAAGACAGTCATATTAACGAAACTTAAAATAGTGTCCAACGTTTTTTTATGAGGATTGGGACATACCCATTAGTGTTCATAGGTATGGTAATATAAAGAAACAGCACTTTATGAAATTGCAGTTAAAAAAGTTTTTTAAGATCAAAAAAAGAAATGGATTTTGTTTTGTTTAGAAATATTAACCAAAAAAAAAAAACTAAAACAAAAAATCTGTTAGAATGTATTACAAATAAAATATTTAGGTTAATTTTAAGTGATATCAATTTTGAAATTGTAAGAAAATTTGAATCTAGTAAAAAAAAAAAGAAAAAAATTGAAACAGAGAGGAAAGTTCATAATATTATCAAAATTACCATAAAAGTATTTGAAATTATGAAAGAAAGATAAATCACAAGGTTGGAATATGACTAAAAAAAATTTTACATAATAAGACCAATCAAACATTGCTATTTTCTAAAAAATTTTATGAAAACCTATTCAACGCACAATTCAAAGATTTAAACTAACAGATAAAAATTGATCAAACAGAGAAAATATACATTTTTAAAAGTTTTTATGAATATACATCTGAAATATATAAAATAGGAGAATCAAACCAAATTTTCTAGAATAGAGAGCATGGACAAATGGCAGACTTATAATTTGTAAAACAGATTCTTAAAAATAAGATTATCAAGTACATCCCTTTATATCGAGTGAATTTTGGCGCATTTTAAAATTGTTTAGATGTTTAAGGGGATTAAAATAAACGACGATTTAAAAAAAAAATATATAACTATTTAAATTTTTAAATTGTAAATGTTGATTGAAATTAATGAAATAAGTTAAATTTGTCGGAATGGAAAAAAAAATTTGTTTAGATGGTCATTGATAAACACTTTCCTTGCAAAAAAAAAAAAAAGGTAAAAGAGAAATTTAAAAGCGAGACAATATTTAGAATGAATTCAATAAAAGGTTGGGAGATTTAAATTCAAATAGAAAAGAAGGGATTAGGAAATAAATATAAATATATAAAATGGATAAAGAAAAGAAAGAAATAAAGAAAAAAAGAAAGAAATTATCATAGAAAGAAAGAAAAGTTTTGATTTTTTATTAAAAAAAGACAGAAAATAGGAAATAAAGGTAGGATGAATATTTAATATATTTAGAATGGTTAGAAAAAAAAATAAGAAAAAAAAGAAAAAAAAATTTTATAAAAAAAAAATGAAAAAAAGAAAGATTCAAAATAAAGAATGAAATATAAAAATGAAATGGTTTAAAAAAAAAATAAATATATATATGTTAAAATATAAAAAAAAAAAAAACTTTATAAGGAAGGAAAAATATAAAAAACAAAATAATTATTAAAAAAGAAACAAACAAATTGTTTTTGTGATAAAAAGAAAGAAAAAAAAATTAAATATGGGTAAAAATGGAAAAAAAAAAAATTAAAAATCTTTTTTAATCAAAAAGGAAGAAGTTTTAAAAAAACGGTTAAGTAAGAAGATGAACCTTAAGAAATATAAAGAAAATATTGGGATTTGAAAGAAGAATGAAATGGAAAATGGTTTGATTTAAAATCAAAAAATATATTGAAAAAGGTAAAATATAAATGATTTATGAAGATTAATAAAAAAAGAAAGAAAGAGAAAAGAAAGAAAGAAAGAAAGAAAGAAAGAAAGAAAAAAGAAAGATTAAAAAGAAAAGGGGAAAAAGAAAAAAAAGAAATAAGAAAAAATCAAGAAATAAAAAAAGAAATTTTTGAAAAAAAAGAAGGAAAATTGAAAAAAAAATGATCAGAAAATTTTGAAAAGAAGAAGAAAAAACGAAAAGAAAGAAGATAAAAAAATTAATTAAAAAGGAGCAAATATTGGAAAAAAAGAAAAAAAGAAAAGAAAAATGAAAAAGAGGGAAAAAAAAAGGAAAATAAATTTGAAAAAAAAAAGTTAACAAAAAATAAATAAAAAAAAATCTCAATTGAACTTAATAAATGAAATCAAATAAAAAAAAGAGAAAAGGAAAAAAAATAAAAAAAAGAAATTAGAAGGAATTTTTAAAAAGGAAATCAAAAATGTAAAAAAAACATGGACTGAAGTAAAGAAAAGAAAAGAAGGAAAAAATAAAAAAAAAACATAATAAAAAATTGAAAAAACAAAGAAAAAAAAAAAAATAATGAAGAAGGAAAAATAATAAAAAAAATTGATATAAAAAAATTGAATGAAAAGAAAAAAAGAAATAAACAAAAAAAAAATGAAAGAAATGTTTTAAAAATAGTTATAAAATATATAAAAAATGGAAAAAAGAAAGAAAAAAATGAATAAATAACAAATGAAAAAAAAAAAAAAAAAAAAAAAAAAAAGAAATTTTTTTTTTGAAAAAAAAGAATGAAAGAAAGAATAGATGAAAGAAAGAAAGAAAAAAAAAAGATAAAAATTACCCCTTGTTTTTTTTTAAATAAAGAAAGAAAAAAAGAAAGAAAGTTTAAGAAAGAAATAAAAAAGATTTAAAAAGAAAAAAAAATTAAATAAATAAATATTTGAAAGAAAGAAAGATACGATAGAAAAGTTTTGAAAAAAAGAAAGAAAGAAGGTAAAATAAAAAAAGAAAAAATAATGAAAAAGAAAATGACAACAGAAGAAAGTTTTAAAAAAAAAAAAAGAATGAGAAAGAAAGAAAAAAAGAAAAGAAAGAAAGAAAAGAAAGAAAGAAAGAAAAAATGTTGTTTAAAGAAAGAAAGAAAGAAAAGAATTATTCAATTTTTTAATTTGAAAAGAAGGACATATAAATAAATAAATAAAAAAGAAAGAAAAGAAAGAAAGAAAGAAAAAAAGAACAAATAGAAAAAGAAAAAAAAAAAGAAAAGAAAGATATGAATTATTTTCAAGAAATAAAAGAAATTTTAGGGAGAAAGAAAGAAAAAAGAAAAAAAAAAAAGAAAAAAAGAAAAAAAATCAATGAAAGAAAAGAAAGAAAGAAAGAAAGAAAGAAAGGATGTTTATTTAAAGAAGAAAGAAAGAAAAAAATTTATTTGAAAGAAAGAATGAAAGAAAGAAAGAAAGAAACAAAAGAAAAAAAAGGAAAAAAAAGAATAGAAAAAGAAATAAAAAAAAAAAAAAAGAAAAGAAGAAAAGAAACGAAAGAAAAGAAAAAAAAGAAAACATAAGAATGGATTTAAAAGATTCAAAGAAGGAAAGATTTTGAAGAAAAAAAGAAAGAAAGAAAAAAGAAAGAAAGAAAGAAAGAAAGAAAGAAAAAAAAGAAAAATATTTGAAAGAAAAAGAAAATTGGGAATATCAAAAGAAGAAAAAAAAGAAATAAGGAAGGAGAAAGAAGAAAGAAAAAAAAAAAGAAAGAAAATAGAAAAATTTGAAAAAAAGAATAATTTAATTAAAAAAAAGAAAGAAAGAAAGAAAGAAAAAAAATTTTATATAAAAAAAAAAGAAAAGAAATTTGAAAAGAAAGAAAGAAAAAAAGAAAGAAAGAAAAAAAAAACAAAAAAAAAGAAAGAAAGAAAGAAAAAAGAAACAAACAAACAAAGACTTAAAAAGAAAAAAAAAAAAGAAAAGAAAGAAAGATAAGATTTATTGGTAAAAGGAAAGAAAGAAACCAAAAAAAGAAAAAAGAAAAGAAAAAAAAAAGAAAAAAAAAAGAAAGGAAGAAAGAAAGAAAAGAAAAATTTAGATTTTGAAATAAAAAGAAAAAAATAAAAAAAAAAAAAATAAAGAAAAAATATATAAAAAAAGAAAAGAATAAAATTGTTAAGAAATTTCATGATGAAGGTAAAAAAAAGAAAGCAAAATCTTCTACGTCTGTTCATAAAGAAAAAAACAAATTAAAAAAAGAAATTGAAAAGAAAAAAAAACTGAAAGTTTCTAATAAAAAAAAAAAAGAGTTTTAAGATAATAAATAACGGAAAGAAAGAAAAGGAAAGAAAAAAGAAAGAATGAAAGAGAGAAAGTTTCAAATGATTTTTGAAGAATAGAAAGCTGTGAAAAAAAAAGAATGATAGAAAGAAAGAACAAACTTTAAAAAAAAAATAGAAAGAAAAAAAAAAAGGAAAAACTAAAAAAAAAATAATGGTTTAATAAGAATAAGTAATGTCGAAGGATAAACTAAGAAAAAAAACATATGCAGGAAAATTCATAGAATAACACCGGGAAAAAAATTATTGGGATGAAGAAGAAAAAAAAACAAAACAAAAGAAAAATAAAAAAAATAATAATAACAATAATAATGATCCTCGTGTTTTCTTTGTCGTTCCAGAAATAACGTGATTATTTAATCTTGGGAAAAAAAAAAGAAACAAGGAAAGAAACAAAGAAGAAAACAAATAGCTCAAAATACTGATTCATATTTGAGGAAAGAAAAATTTTCAACATTTAAAAATAACAGCCCCATCGCGCTTTGCAACTGGACGAATTTCGGCAATTCCCTTTGATTTCGTTTTTTGTTTTTCGTTAAAAAACTCGTCAATGGCCGACAACAATTCATAAAAGACAAGAATTAATGGTAATGATTTTTTGGTTTTTGAGCCTTGTCCAAATTTGGAAATCTTTGTTGCCAAGATAGTCGAGATCCGGAAATAACAGGTTACATGGAACTTTCCCTTTTCTAAGGGATATTAATTCATTAAGAAAATAATAAATAAATTAAAAGTGATAATTGTGTGTCAAAAATGTGTGTGTGTTTTTGTGTGTGTGTGTGTGTGTGTGTGTGAGAGAATTAGCTGTGAAAGAAGAAATAGAGAGATAGACAGGATTAATGAATATAATAGAGAAGGAAAGAAAAATAAAAAGGAAACAACTAAAAGTGGGAATGGATAAACGCAAATCTTTTTTTTTTTTTAAAAAAAAAAAAAAATGACGAAAAAAAAGCTGTTCAAGAAAAAGCTAATGGGATGGTGGAAAATATTGGTTTTGTTTAAATTAGATATCAACATCTATGCGTTATTTAATGTCAAAATCTAAATATTTTGAACACAATGTTATCGCTCACAATGAAATATAATTTGAACGAAATTATATACCTTAGACTGCTGATAAAATGTATTGCTGATTATTTTGCTATTAAATGTATTGTTGGTAGTCCTATAAATATTTATTGTTGGTAATTTGTTTTATATAAAATGTATTATGGTATTTTTTTTAAAAAAAATTTGGAAATAAAAATTGTGTTATTTATATTTATCAGAAATTTCTTCTTATTTCTTAAACATTTATATTTAAATATTGTGTAAATTTTTTGTTTCATTGTTTTGTTACAAAACATAGATAAGTTTTTTCTTTTTATTTTGGCAAAATTTAATATTGTTTTATATTTTTTGTTTGGGATTTTACTATTTGAATAATAGATGGGGCCAATAGGAGAACATTGCAGAAAGCGGAAAGCTTGACAGCAAGTCTTCAGAAGGTATAATGTTTTAAAAAATTTAAAATAAAAGAAAGAAAAAAACATTAGCAGCAAATAGTTAATTTAATTTTAATGCAGTTAGTTCCTGCTTAAAAAAAGAAATAAATCCTGAGAAGATAAAAATTTTTTAATGAAAGTACTTTTATTTAATTGAAAAGATAATAATTTATCTGTTACATGTAAACGGAAATAAAATTAAATAATACTGAAAAGGAAAAAAACAGAAAAAAAAAAATTATATTTTGATCTGAAAAATTTTAAAAAAAATATAAAAAAGATAGTGAAAAATGTAAAAATCAATGATGACAAAATTTTAAATTTTTGAAAGATTGAAAATTTCAAATGTTAAAATTTCTAAAAATTTGTATAGACCCAGAAAATTTATAAATTATTCAATATTTACAATGAAAATATTTTATAAATAATAGATTGACTGAAGAGTTTACAATTGAAAAAAAATTAAAATTTTTATTTTGTTGCAACAAATGCCATGCACGGATTGTTTAGGAAAAAAATTTCTTATCCAGGGAAAAAGTCTTGTCTGAATTGGGTTATATATAAAATATATATATATATATATATATATATATATATGTTGAATATATTTTTTTGTGTTATATATATAATATATATATATATATATATATATATTATATATATATATATATATATATAAAAATATATGAAACAATATATAATATATATAGGTTATTCAAAATTTGTGTGCACTTTAAAAATTTAACTTTTTTTGTAAATTAGAAATAATCTGTAAAAATGTATATCTAGAAATAAAATGGTTAGAAAATATTATATATATATATATATATATATATATATATTTATATATATATATATGTATATGTATTTTATATATATAATATATATTATCCTTTTAAAATATTTTTTTTCTAAATATTTTATATATTAAAATTTAAAATATGTTTTATTATATGTCCATAAAGTTTGTGTACACTTTAAAAAAATTATAACTTTTTTTGTATTTGCGATAGAAATAATCTGTAAAAAATGTTATAAAGTTTAATGTACCTAGTTTTAAGTATAGCTAAAATAACTAATGTGATTTCAGGCATTATTGTAAATCAGTTGGCAAATATTTTCCGTGAACTGCAAAATCGTATTACCCTTTTGTATTGCTAATGATGGAGGACATGTGGAAACTTAAATAAAATTTCAATAAAACCTTAAAAATTATAGATTTACTTTTTATAATCCTTTTATAATTATTTATTCAAATTGAAAATAGATATAAATAAAATCTTTTTTTAAAAATAGCCATTTTGTTTCAACATTAGACACCAAGAAGTTTGAAACAAAATAACTACTTTTTATAACATATTTATGTTATAATTTTGAATAAATAATTATATTTGCTGTTTACTCTGTTTTGAGCACTCTTTTTAAGATATATATATATATATATATATATATATATATATATATATATATATATATATATATCATAAAGAAGTAATTTATATATAAAGAATTAATTAGCAATATTAATGTTATCAACAATACGTAATGAGATTTGCTATCGATTCCTTGAATAATAATAATAATAATAATAATAATAATAATAATAATATGCTCATATTTGAATTGTTGTCAGATGAAATTGACGAGCCCAGAACTTTTAACAATTTCAAATTTTCATCTTCGAGGCGCAATTTTTCATTATATACCGAAAGATGATTTTTAAAATATGCTATTTAATGACAGTCATATTATTGTTTTATAAAGTAATTCCAGAGAATTCCAGTAAGATATCTTTAATCATTTCAAAATTACAACAGTTCAAATCTTAATCTTACAACTGGACTTTTTTGTTGTTACATGATTTGGATAATTTGAAAAAAAGCCAGTATAACACTATGACAAAATCTACTCACCTACTAACCATTAAATAAAAATGAAACATTAGATAATCAATAACAGATGATATAAGCAATATATAGAGAGTATTTAAAATTACATATCTGTGCTGGTGCGTACATGAGTGTACGGTTGTATATACTGTATATTCAAACATCAATGAAAATACCGCCATAAACACAACTTACCATTATTAATACCCTAAAACTGATAAAAAACAAAATTTTTACCATTTATTTATTTAGTTTTTAATAAGTTTATCACAAATTTTGTTCTGTATGGGTGTATATGAAAATGTTAATATTTATATACGTATATGCATGTGTGTTTGTGTGTGTGCGTATAAATACAGGCATAGGTGCATGAGTTTAAGAAATAATAAATAAAAATTTAATCAAATCAAACCTTCCACACGTAATATTTTGATACTACTTAAGATACCACCAAACCAAATAAGACAATGAAAGAAAAAAATGCAAGTATATATAAATATCTGGTAATCATTTTATTTATTAAAATAAGTTATTTATATAAAAAGAAGAAATACAGAGTTTCTTTAATCAAGAAAAAGACTAGAAAGCTTAAAAATTAAAAATGATTCATGTCTAGAAAAAAACGAAAAAACACACATATATTTATATATATATATATATATATATATATATATAATAGATATATATAGATTTATTAATATGTCTTGATAAAATGAATATATTATTAATATATTATATATTTTATATATTCTTTATATATATATATATATATATATATATATATATATATATATAAACATATCTGTATATTGTGTTTTTTAGATATATAGGATATATATATATATATATATAAATTAATTTCCCATATATATATAATATATATATATATATATATATATAAATATATATATATATATATTAAATTTATTTCAACAATTGTCATTTTATAAAACAGAAGGTTGTTAATTTCTGACAATTTAACTGTTTTGTCGAATGAAAAAAATCTTTTAAAATAAATAAAATTTAATTTACCAGAAAAAGGCTTGCCGTTGAAGCATCTATCTTTTAAATTTGATTTTTTTAATGAAACTTTAGAAACAAAGACATTTCGATTTCATTTTGCTTCCTTGAAAAGTCGGAAGAGAAAACAAAAAAAAAATCCAAGATTTTTTTTTCCAATTGTGATTTTTGTTAATTTATATATACCATATATATATATATATATATATATATATATATAGAAAGCGTTAGTTAGCAAGATTAAATTAATTTCTAAAGATATTCATCAGTAAATGTTGTTAATAACTTAATTATAAACAGAGCATTTTATTGTTGAATATTGTATATAAATAAAAATATCTTTAAATACAAAGAAGGACTTAGTCCATTTTATAACCTATACATACATACATAAAAAACATACATACATACATATATATATAAGACAAGAACACGGGTGAGAATCAAATGCAGTTGAAGTTTTTGAAATGCACTGAAACGAAGTTGCATCTTTGTTTAAATTAAAATGGTTTTGTCTATATGATAAAAATTATAATAAATAAAAAATTATTGCTCTACTATCGGTGATTAAGTCCTTTTGGATTAAATGCCAAAACGTTGGAATTTATAAATTAATTCCGTTCTCATTGAGAAAAGACACAGGGATATATATATATATAAAAATATATATATATAGATATATATATATTATTGTTGCAGATTGTGTTGCATTTTTCATTAAGGAGAAGTTTCATTGAATATATATATATATATATATATATATATATATATAATTTATTTTAATGAACAAAAAAAATCTCTTTTTCAAAATATGACAACACAAATTTATGTCAAAAAAAAAATGAGAAATTAAAATAGCAACAAATAGCAACAAGAACATTATGGAATGGAAAATTGTCAATTGCAAAGAATTTTTGGTGACAAGAATTTTAATTATATATATATATATATATATATATATATATATATATAATGCTAATATATATTTCGGAAGATTGTGTTTAAGCATAAAAAGAACTGTCGCCAGAATCTTTTGGACCAAAATGTCCACTTTTATATTTGTCTAAATTACTTGATAAAAAAGCGATTTTATCCATAAATATATAAATAATATAAAATTTTTTAAAATAAAAATAATGCAAAAAAATATAATGACCCTTTGAAAGTTATTTTTTGTATTTTTACCAAGACTTGCTCAAGATAATATCAAATCCGTTGATTAATATCAAAGGTATATAGGGTATGATATTTTATATAATATGTGGTTTTATATTTGAAAAAATTTTAATTCCACTTCTTTCATTATAAATAAGAAACTAGAAAGAATAAGCATTATTCTATAGATGATTAAATGTTGGGTAAGATTTGTTTATTGGAAACAGTTTAAGTCAGAGCCCTGAAATTAAGAAAATTAATAACAGATATGCAATAATTGTTTTTTTTTAATTAAAAAAAATTTAACTCAGAAGATTTAAGTTTTACTGAATTAAAATAATGTTTTGACTAAATAATCTGGCGAAAAAAATAGTTCAACACTTAATAAAACAGTTTATTTTATAAAATCAACGAAGAATTTAAGGCGGTTAGAAAATACCAAAGTTTACTCAACGAACTACTAAATCACTTTTTTTTTTTTTTGTAAATACATATTTAACCTGAATTATATAAACGAATTCTTTATGCAAAAAATCAATTGTATGTGAGTGCGTTCAGATGAGCTGCAGTATGATTAAATAAAAATGGACGCACCCATAGAAAGTCGATTTTTATATTTTTAAAAAGAAAATGCTTAGTAACAAAATCCGTTTATTAATAGATTCTATTTAAAATATTAAAAATTTCAAATTATGCAAAAAAAATGATTTAATAAATAACGATCCTAAGCATATTATATTTAAAGAATAAACAGTATCTAGAGAGAAACCACGAGACGAGGGTAAATTAAAACCCTTCCAGTGGCCTAGTCAGAGTTCTAACCTTAATCCAATTGAAAACATTTGGTCTATAATGAACAAGCGTGGACGTAGTAAGAAATTTACAGAAGGTAGGGTTTTACGCGAATTAAAGGAAGTCTGCAAAAATCTGGCGAAAGACGTTGACTTACTAAAGGATATAGTCTATAACATGCCACGAAGAATT